AATTGAATCAAACAGAGGCAATCATTTTCTATAGCAGTCATAGTTTTAAGTGCTTTCAAAATCCGGTAGTTATTTAGCCGAATTTAAAAGACATGTCCTGTGTGTGCATAAACGCCCATGCTTGTGCTCACGAACATTTCTGTGTAGTGTTATATATTTTCTCCTAAAGCATGAAGAACTTGTATAACTGTTCATTTGAATACCTGATTTTTAATAACTCAAGTTCTTCCTTTTATCGCTGACAATGAATATAAATAGCTCAGCTCTTCCTAGTTCTGAAAATTACTTACAGATATTCTACAAAATTTAGAAATGAGGATTTCTTCCAGCTGAGGAAGACTATACTAGTAGAATGCACTCAGGCAACGGGTCAAAGGGAAGTGGAATCACTGGTCCACAGTCACACCATAGATGGAAATTTGTGCAGTATAGTTGCAGATTTTAATATCCCAAATATTCTCTTCAAAAGTTAAGTGGTGTAGATGCAATATATTTAGAATAAATTTTAGATATAATTAGACTTTTACCTTAAGAACTATGTCCCTAAGCCGGGCGTAGTGTCTCATGCCTGTAATCCCAGCACTCAGGAGGCTGAGACAGGAGGATCATGGTGAGTTCGAGACCAGCCTGGGCTACATAGTGAGTTTCAGGACAGTCTCAACTACATTGTGAGACCCTGGCTCAACCCACCCCCCCTTAAAAAGAGAACTATGTCCCTAACAAATCTCAGTAATTCTAACCCAGGATTTTTCAATTAGTATTTCAAATGATCAAAATTGAAATAATTTTGATGAAAATATTTGTATATTTTCTTTCCTCCTTCCCACTGCTTTATATGTATATACATGCATATATATTCAACTGCATATATGTACAAACTCACTACAAAAGGACACACCTGCGGACATACATAGAAATATACTCTGAATAGGAAAAGTGTAGTTTCAATTATAACATTTTATTGTGACACAGTATTCATTCAACTAATAAAGTTTATTTTCTGTGCTCTATCTTAGTAAAATGTTCAATTTAATGATACTGGCACTGCATAACTTCAACATATGCTATATGCTATATAGTTCTTGGAAATCTTTCAATATGTGCAAAAATGTCAAACATCAAAGTGACAAAAGAAATTAATATTACATTTTTAATCAGTGATCATCCAGTAAATATGAAAAAAATTAGAAATATTTTATAATACTTGCTCTAAAGCAGTGAAATAAACACTAAAAACCTAAAGTGACACCACATTTTTACTTTGTTTAGAGTATAATCAAAATAATAAATATTTGGAAAACTTTTGCCTGTATTATCATCTGTATTGCTATTTTCTTAATGGTAGCATTATGAGATAAACTCTAAATTTCAATTACTTAAAGTTTAAAATGTTCTAGATATAAAATCTGTTTTATTAATTACCTTTATTTCTTTTTATATTTCACAAGTTTTACTTTTATTAAATGCAAAAGAAGAAATGTTTTGTCCTGTGCTCATATTGATTACTTTTATAACTATTCTTGTTATCCTCAGTTGACAAATGCTAAAAGTATGAGATATTAAAAACATTTACAAAAATTTACAAAATTGAAAGAAGTATTTAATGTGCATGGAGATGCAACTTCATATCTTTGTAGTGACAGAAAATTATGTAAGACTTCCCAAGTATTTTAAAAAATAAATACTTCCAACTTACTCTATTGTTACTGACATCTTACTACATATCAGAAAAAGCTGTATCCTGTAGCTTTTAAAGTATTTTTTCTGAGTAGTCATTAAGCACAAATTAAATGATGCAGTACAACCTAGCACACTGATCCACTCAAAGTATGAAGACTGAGACGTATATATCTTATATTTTTTCCATAAATCATATAAAATTTTCATTGCTCTCATTTCTAGTCCTCCTTTATAGATGAGAAATTTTACCGTTACTATAATAGCCTCTCAGTTTACTAATATGATATATACATGTGGACTTCTCAAAATTATAATTTGAAAATAATAGAGCTAAAATCACTTAAATTGAAAATTGCAGTGGTATATGTTTTCTCACAGATGACCTTTCAGTAAGAAATCCTAACATTTTTATTTCACTCCTAGGAGAAACAGACAAAATAATTATTTTAACAATATTTAGGTCATGATAACTGAGTATAGAATTAGGTGGAAAGTGCTATTTTTAATTTAAAACATAATTTTAGCCAAGGTACTGTCTTAGAAATTAATGTTTGTCACGATGTTTTTGAAGTAAAAAATCTATGGTTTTGTTCATAGAGTTTGTTATTTTAAATTAAAATCCAACTTAACTCATGAAATTTTACTATAAATATGTTAATGGTTTTATAGCTTAGAAACTATTGATAGCTGAGATTTATGAAAAAAGACCAGGTTCAAATTCAACCACATTTGCTCTTACTCTTCTTAAAAATTAGTAGACATAGAAAATTATTTTCTTCCTTGGTTCCATTTTATAGATGCATCTTCTCTAAGGGAATGTTTCTCAAGAGAAGAAAATTTCTTCTGGGGTCACAAGTTTAAAACGTGTGGCCACAACCAGGAATTTCCTTACAGATAATTTCTTAGTTTTATTTTGCTTATTTTTGTATCCACATATAACTATAATATACTCAATATCACTGTTTTATGTTTGTGTTTCAAAACAAGTGACTATTTCTTTAAATGTAGTTTTATCATACTTTATTACCTTCCCAAATACAGGCAATGGTGTTAAATGGACAGCTTACCATCTTTTACTTTGTAAGGCATGGAGAGTCTGATCTGTTCCAGTAGACACCATTTTGATGCAATAGCACAATATTTAATTATTCATTATTCATCTTTAATGCCTTCACAAGACTGTCATTCTCAACAATGTTTGTGAATTTCATGACCTTACTCTCCCATTTATAACACATATGGCATCAAAATGTGCTTTTAAACACAATTTTATCAAGAATACATTTTCATATCATTAATTTTGTCCTATCATGGTGGTGCCTAGGGTTTCAGAAGGAGTAATATGTAATTTAAGATTTCTGGAAGTTTTAGAATGGCTACTCTCAAGTTCCAGTTCTTTTACAATCTTCTTGGTGATTCTCGTAAATAAAAACAACCATTCTATTCCAGCAGTCCAGGAAAAAAAAAAAAAAACGAATAAATCTGAACTTTTCTTTTGTTTTTATATTACTTGCCTTTAAGAGAAACACAAACTTTCAAAACTCACAATAAAATGAGATAAATATGTGTTACTTTTATTCACATATATCAATATAGGCCTGCAAGAAAAACATCAGCCCTTGTTAAACTTTTTATAGAAATGTTTTATTCTCTTTATTTTGAAGGGTAATTGCTTATACAAGTTTCTTTCAGGGATTTAGTATCTGGGGTTTGTCTTTTATTTTTAAGGATACACCAGAGAGAGAGAGAGAGAGAGAGAGGGAGAGAGGGAGGGAGGGAGAGAATAAACTTTGAAGAACAATTCAATAGTCCAAACTGTACTGTCTTGGAAATTTTTTCAAATAATTCAGAGCTTTGTCTTAAAACATTTTCATTAACATGTGCATTTAGGATTAAGAAAAAAATTGGGATATATATTATCCAAGATCAAATTATATTTTCCAACTGTTATAACTAGCATTAGAAAGGGCAATATCTTTAATGCTCATTAAAACTCCCCTGGAAAAGGAATCAACTAAAATCAATTACTAAAAGAGCATATTTTAGAACCCAACCTCTCTGCACTAGTATATTTCAGCAACAAGGCCTTGGAAGTCACAGTCTTTGCACATTATGGTCAATTTCATGAATAAAAGAACAATTTACATCCAGTATCACTTATTGACAAGTTGCAAGTTTGTGACTATTTTTCTACTCATTAACACATTCCTATAAATGACCTTTAAAATTAAATAATCCGAAAATGGGACCAAACTTATTTTCATGTAAACAAGAAGAGTATAACATGAAATTCATACCTTTCACTTGAGACTATTACAGACAGGGAGAATACCCAGAACAAACCTTACTCCTTTTATTTATAAATACTTGCATTGCTTAATCCTGGATAAGGTTAATAAGAATACATGTCATTTCTTTTGGGGATGACAGCAAAACTGATAACAGTTCCTGTTGTACCTGTCATTAGGTTATTGCTAAATCACCCACAACATCGTGACCTGGTATTAGTTATCAGGGACAAAGCCAACACATGAGAGTTAAGTTTCATTCAAATTACACACAAATGCCAGCCCTCAAAAAACTACACAAAAAGATCCATATCCCAGTAATTTAAGGAAAGATGAAAAGAAGGAAGGAAGAGAAGGAAGGAGGGAAGGAGAGAGGGAAGGAGGGGAGCGAAGGGGAGGTGGGAGGGAGGGAAAGAGAGGGAGGGAAGGAAGAAGCCAGTCCTCAAACACTTGACGCAGTTACACAGTAGGCCTCCGGCATCCTCTATGCTGGTAAGTAGCTAAATGGCAAATGACATGGCTGTGAGATTCCTGTTTCATGCTTTAATCAAAACTAAAATTTTACAAAAAAAAATCAACACTTGGGCAAATTGCTCTTTGGTTTAAACTTCGTTACCTCCTGGAATTTTGGTAAACTCACTTTGTTTTTAAATTAAGCTGGCCCCTCCTTTACTCCATTACAAAAGTCAAACACCAAGAACCAGACAAGAATGTCAGAATGAATGTGTGTTTTTAAGTCCAACCCCTGTATACAAATTGTTAAAAAAAAAACAGGTGTTTTAACATAGTGCTTTATTACAACTTAATCTCATCCTTGAATGAACTTCCTTCAAGTTTCAACCATTTTTTTTTTTTTAAAGCAGTCAATTTCCTGGTAGTTGTAATTTAATTAAGTAACCTTTCACACCGAGAAAAAACCAAAAGCAAAAGGGTCATTAATCTGGCTAGCGATTAGAGACACCTCTAGAGCTTCAAACATTTACCTCTCCTTCCCCGCAGTAGAAATGCTTTTAGGAGGATCATGGTTCATACCTCACATTCCCTGGAGCCAGAGATGGTATATGTGCAGGGCCCAGATCCATTAACCGATATATCCATGGTCTCAGAGTTTGTCGGCTTGTAGTCCACATAATACTCCTGTAAAGGGGAATTCATTTGTCTTTCAGACTCTCTGGCCTTTTTCCGCCTCCTCTTCATAAGAGAGTGCTGCTGGAGTTGCTTCATGCTAGCTGGATAGCGTTTCCAAGACACATAGATCACCAAGAGGATCATGGCCACTGAGAGAAACAGAGCCACACTCCCAGCAATGATTTTGTGAAACGAAACATGCTCATACTCTTGGTCTGTGCCAGGAATCTGAAACCCTGGGGAAGGGCTTGGTGTCTCAAGAGTGAAGTGAGAGGCATCAGGTTTGAAGATGGTAGGTTTAGGGATAATCAGTGGCTTCTGAGGCGTTTGGGGCACCAGGTGTGATCTTTCCGTATTGACCACTTGGACTTCAGAACAGATGTTGTATGTTTCCACTGCGTCACTAACCTTTTCACCCTGGATATGCTTAGGTCCTGCACATATCATGGTGCTCTCCTTATTTCCTTTGAAATTTTTCAGCCAGTGAAACAGAGGACAAATGCTCCGGCTGCATTCCCACATATTTCCGGACAAGGTAATGGATATTAGTGATATCCATGTACTGACAGTTTCCTGTGAGATGTTGGTGAGCTTGTTGGAATCCAAATTCAGTTTTTGCAAATTGGGGAGGCATTTAAATGTGCCCGGCTCAATTCCTTGGATGTCATTCCCCGATAAATCCAAGTTGTGTAAGGAACTCCAAGTCCATGTCAAGCCTTGGCTAATGGAGCGAATCCTGTTCCATTGTAGGTAAATTGAACGGAGGTTGAAGAGACGCGGAAAATGAGCAAAGTTGATCTTGGAAAACTGGTTGTGCTCCAGGTGGAGCTCCTTTAATTTCAAGAGGCCAGCAAAAGCATTTCGAGATAAGCTCCGGAGACGATTGTAACCCAAATCCAAAAAGTCAAGATTGCGACAGTCTTGAAATACTCTTATGGGAACAGTCTTCAGTGAGTTAGACCTCAAGTGCAAAATTATGAGTTTCCGAAGTCCTTTAAATTGTTCAGATTGCAATGTCTGAAGTTTATTGTAGGACAGATCCAGATTGCGGAGATTGGGAACTGGGTGAAATGTTTTATTGTGCAGATAGGTAATTTTGTTGGAGCTCAGAATTAATTCTTTCAGTCTACGGATCCCGTGAAATGCATCTTCATCCACTGAGCTAATGTAATTATGGTCAAGATAAAGCCATATAAGCTGGTTAAGGCCAGCAAACTGATTGGATTTGAGCTTCTGAATGCTGTTGAACCTTAATGATAAGCCTTGTGACCCACCAGAAATGTTCTCAGGAATATCTGCAAAAGCGTGAGATTCACAGTACACAATTTTGCCATCGCATCTGCAGTTCTTCGGGCAAGCTCTCTGAGCCCCTGTGAGCATAACAAGCAGCAGTGTAGGAAGTAGCACCAGAACCACACTCATGCCTTTCAGCTGCGTGATTAAGTGGAAACCTACAACATTAAAGAGAAGACAGATGCACATTGTGATGCTATTAAGATACACTACCACCAGCTTACTCGTATCAGGGGCATTTTGTCTAATGCAGTAATGGGACAGTTGATTTAGGAACACATTCAACACTTAAGCATCATTTTATTCAGTGCTGCATGTTTGCTGTTTAGGCTTCATTCTTTCTTCCTTGATCTTCAAATCAAAACAGTGCTGGAGAACTAAGAAAATCCTTTCTGAGTTTCAGGAGTTTCTGTGTATCTCAACAGTGAAATGCACAGAGCCTTTATTTTCATGGAATGCTGCTGACATTTTCATAACAATGATACTTGGCTAGTCACTGTGCTGAAAAACAGCACTGAAAGAAAGTATAGAACCTCTTCTGGTAAGGACAAAATTTGTGACTTAGTAAACCTGGTACTCACACATCTCTACTAGTTGGGCAAACAGGATGTGATACAGGAAAGGAGCTTTGGGAAGCTGTCAAGGTAATCCAAGTTTGCCTTGCCTGAAATTATATGCTTATTGCATAATGGGATGGCATGATATGAGCTCTGAAAAATGGCATCGGGACTAACTATAAGCAGCCCATGAAGCACTGTGTGATGATAATAACAGAGTGTTTCTCTTGGTTTCATAATCATCATGTATTATTGTGTACTGTGGTTCTATGCCTTGATACATAAGCTAAAAGGCAAACCCACCCTTATCAGACAACACTCCGAAGTTGAGATTGCCCACTTCTTATTAAGTAGTACATGAAATGGAAAACAGTCTTGTGTATCAGTTTGCTGTTATTTTTCACATAGATGCTCTTACAAATTTAAGGATAAACAAGGAAAGAAATAGAAGACTACTAACCTACCCCACCAACCCGACCTGTTCGAATTTCTCATCGACTTTTTTTCTCCCCTGCCTCCATTAACTTAAAAAAGCCTACTAAGTTACAGTGTATTGGCTCTTATGCTGCATTTCCAAGTCATTGCATGTTAAGGGACTTCTTTCCTCTGTGAACAGTAAATTTATTATTTCTTAAAAGTGAAAAAAAACCACTACTGTATACTGCAGTTTCTTTATATCTTTACTCTTCATATTTTTAATGAAGAGGCAATCAGCCAAACCCCTAATCTAAAAACCCTCCTTAGTCGAGTTTTTTCTTTCTTTTTTAAAATTTGAAACTCAATCTTACTCTCTGTCCTTTTGCCAGTTACAGACTCATTGAAATACATTCCAGCTCTTGTAGACAGGAGGGGAAAAAAGCCAGTCACACTTGAAAAAATAAGACTGGCAAATGACTGCTGAAAATTTGGAGGCTGTGTTCAGGATCCAGCTTTAAAAATAAAACAAGTCCGGTGCAATCTCTAAAAAGTAAGGACCCCACCCCTACGCACACCCAATAAAGTGTTAACAACCTTCCTGACAGCGACCAGAAATACAAGCGTGGCTAATATTATCAAGAAACAGAAACAAACACAGTATTTATCTCATGCCCAATTCCCAATCTGTGGATATTCAGACGGTAGTGACAATCTTAAAGATATTTCTCGAGAGTCTGTTTAAGTCTGTGTTATGCATTTATGGATTTAAAAAAAAGCACCGCAAAGAGGAAAATGATCTAAAAATATAGTAATAACTATAGTGAGTCAATTGGCAAACTCAGAGGCTGCTTTTTGCCTGTTTCCTTGTCTGTTAGCAACCAATGCTACGGCTAAGGACAGGAAGGAAAGAGGATCAGCTTTGCTGAGAAGGAAACAACAAAAGTTCACTTACCCATCCTTTGTCATCCAAAAAGGTCTCCCCCCTCTCTCAGCTTTCTTCTTATTTGGTCTCCTGTGCTGAAACCACCACCACCTTCATGACACAGTGCGGCTGTCATTCACACCATTCTGATCCCGCATGGGAGCTAGTAGCCCCGTACAAACTTCCCCGGAGAGGACAAGCAAAAATATATGCACACATATATTAAAAAAAAAAAATCAGCACGGGGTGGGAGGAAGGGACAGGGAAGAGGAAGCTGTCTGGGGGGCGGGGGTCTCTAGGCTCTGAAGACCATTGTATAATTCATCAGAGACCCATCAGCAGCAATTTTCAGTCTGTGCAAAGAGCTACAGCCCATCTCGGAGATAACCAACTTCTCTGTAAAAAGAGAGGCAAAAAAAGAAAATCTTCAGAATACCTGGCATTCCTTATTTTGCTGGCTTTTGCCATTCCCAGATAAAGCAATTCATCCTCTGGCTTTTCAGTTCTTGAAGAAAGTAGGCCTCCTGTGCTGTATGAGACCCCAGTTTAAAAGCTATGCAGGCTAGGTTTATCCATTTAGCTGGTCAGGTTTAAAGTGTTTTGTAGCTGTGCTGAGAGGCAGCCCTTGTCTAATTCAGAAGGCTTTCCAGAGACTGATGAGGCTCAGAGCTTGTTGGTGCTAATGCTTGAGTTTGTGATACACTGAGTGCCCTCCGCTGGAGAAAACAGATTGCACATTAAAGACGGGAACAAGTGAGCTTGTCAGTGGTGTGCAGCCTTCCCTTGCTCAGAAAGGGAAATTAAAGGCGCAGGATCACATTTTTTCCCCTCTCCAATAATATAAATTATGAAAGGTTTATGCCAAATGGTTCCTTCTAGTGATAGCATATATTAAATAAAATACTTCTTCTCTAAATGTTGTGCAATGAATAGGTTTTAAAACTTGCTTTGACCTGATTTTTTTTTTAGCACATCTCAAGTGATTTATAATGATTGCAGTAACAGCAATAATTTGAATTTTATATACTTTTACTATTGGTTTGTATTTATTTACAGTTTTTAAGCTAATCACATGCAGAAGCGATCTTACTCATGGGGAAAATGAAATTTGGCCAATATTAATTATGGTGACCTTTTTAAAAACTTAAGGCTAATCCTTAAATATTTAACCTTTGAGAGTAACACACCTTAGAAGATTTGCCCATTTTATTGAACAGTCTAGAACATGACTTCATAAAAAATTATATATTTAATCTTAAAGCATGATCATCTCTATTTTTTCACAAACTGTGAAGATAACTAAGATAGAAGAAGTAAGGCAAAAGTTAAGTCCTGATTGATGTTCTAAAGCCAGTCAATTCTCTGAAACTCATACACATCTATAACACGAATGTTTTCTAATGCAAATCACATGCTGTAATGTCTAATATTAGAGAAAGAAAAGCAATCCAGTTCTACATTTTTATACTATTTCTCTAGAGTTTTCACTGTATCATTAGAACAAGAACAAATGAATTTACAAAGTATCTGAGGTACAGAATTTGTAAAAATCTGTATACTTTTTGTAAACTTGTACTGAATGCTAAAGTATAATTTATTACTTCTATTTTCCTCCTCATGTTTATTTCTTTCTTAATTCTCAGGCAGATTAACAGCTCTTGGAATAATCCAGAAGAATGAACTAATATAATTCAGAGAAAGGCTACTAGGTCAGAGTGCTAACCTAATTTAGCAGATATGAGAACTTTAAATGGATTTTACATAAGCATCTATAATTGCCGTGGATCCTTGAAAAGTACATTTCTAAAAATATTCTGGTATTATATTATTTGCCAAAATATTAATAATTAAAAGGGATTTGCCATATGAATAACACACATAATTGGACTCAGATTTATGAGCAGGCAGTCATAGTGAATTGTCTAATTTTTAAGATTTCTCTAAGCACAGAAAGGGATAATATGCCCCTCAAATTTATTCTTTTCCCATTAACTGCTACCTGAATTTTTATTTTAGAAATGTGTGCCTTTGGCTTACAGCTTAATACCTATTAAAATGCAAATGCACACCACAAGAGGCAATATTATTGTGTTTACCAAAAGAAAATAAATCAATAGAAATGATACGCACCCCATTTGTTCAAAGCAGTGCAGTTTACATAGAAATACAAACTCCACCTAGATAGAAAATTCAGTGATATATAATTAATTAAGAAAAGATAATAGATTCATGAAAAAGTACACATGCTGCACTTAAACTTGACATCAAGTTTAATATCAGCTGACTGGAAATTATGACCACCATTTATACAGTTAGGAGATCAGAGGTAGAACACTGAGCGCCAAAGGAAAATGAAAAGCAGTCAGTTTCTCCACAGATTTTCATTTGCACAGGGGCAAAATAAAATATTCAGAGCAGATTTTCCAGGAAGATGGAATTGGGATCTGTTTGATTTCATCTAATGTGGATTTTTTGGTCTGTGTTATGTAACTTCTCAATATAATGAATATGTAGTAGGCATGATATTTATCTATTCACATATGTGTATAAAATTTCACTTGTTTTCAAGGTAAGAAAAGAGCTTTTGACAGTAGGATCAGCATAATTTCAGCATGGCAGTCATATTTTTAGTGCTCTAACAGACTAAATGGATGTTTTGTTTAAAGTATCAAGATGTGAAAGATACTGCATTCTAAGTAGGTACTTGATCTAACCATAATTTTTTGAAAGCTATATCCAAAACTTAGTTACAGATTTCTTGAATGAACGCTGAGGATAGAGCATGGTCAAAAGCCTTGAGAATGACAAAGGAATTTGTGATTCTTGGTGGGGAAATCCAGAAGAAAATAGGTTTACTCCAGAACAAGGCGAAAGTGAGTGTTGTGATAAAACTGACTTTCATTTTCAAAGTCTGTCTAGATAAAAATATGTAGATGGAACAGAACCTGGCTATATGAGAAGTCAGCGTGGAGTTATTTTAAATCTTTAGGAAAAATCTCACCATGCAGAAACTCTGTGAATGCACTGCTAAAACAGGCACGCAAGTCAACAGGAAAACAACCCAGAAGTTTAGTGGGAAGGTCAGAGGTAGCAGTTATTAAGTGCACAGAAGTGAAGCAAGATTAACCCCATAGTTCCTCCTTTTTTCTAGGTAACAGATGCTCCCATGCAATTAGTCCTACATGATACCTAGGAGAAAATCTTTATAGAAAGTATGAGATATTGCCTAGTAGAGTGGACTTAATACTTTTGTTTACTGAATTAACACTTCATGAACTAAGAAAATGAGTGAAGTTTTTGTTACTTCAAGTAATTTTCAGTGACCTTATCTTGGTAATCTGAAATTCACTGTGGAGGGAGTCATACAAAAATCAGCAAAGGCTATAGATTAAGATATTACTTATTATATTTTTGTGTATTTAGACATGAGAACATATTAGAGAAGAAAATATCAAACAATGTAAAAGCACACTGTGTCTAAAATTATTTAATTGCTATACTACAAAAGTGAGAAATATCTTCCCAAAGTTTGAGAATTTATTATGGCTAAAGAAATGTCATTTCTGCCATTCTTAAGTAAACAACACTGTAACATATATCTCCATCATTTCACTCGGTTCTCATTAGTGAAACACAATATTCACACTGAAATTATTTTTGGGAAACACCTCTGATCTCCATATGTATGGCTCTAATAATGAACTACTTTTGAGAAATAAACCGTAATAATGTTCTTGTTCGAGCAATCCATCTTTACTGTACCTCAGAGTCAGTGGACTATTAAGAAAAAATATGACAAATAAAACAGTTATTGAATAAAGAACATAAGGATCCTTTTCAGTTCTGACATGTCCATGCTTGCTTTTCTTCTTTATGATAAAATCCTGCAATATCCAAACCATTGAGATACATCTGTATTTCTCAATGATATAATACCACTTTAACAATACTACATGGATTTTTTCTGCTTTGTACCAACATTTTACAGCTAATATGATACAAATAAGCGGTAGATACTAAAATGTTTAAAAATGTGTGGCTTAAAAAATCATTAATCATGCAAGCTGGTAGCCATCAATCATTAAATCAAGTTGCATTTATCACAATCAATGCTATTTTCAGTCCCATCCCTCTTTTTAAAAATATGATTCGTTTGCCCCAATTTATAAATTAAAAATCAATTTTAGTAAGCAAACTTAATGTTATCAGTGAAAAAACTCAACTCAAATTGATTGAAAGAAAAATTATTTTGTCTCATATAAACAAAATTTTCATAGTAACATTTAACTTGATCTAGTGACTAAATATATCACAAGTATCCAGTTTTATTTGATTCATTTTTCACAACTAGCTTTTAATGTTTGAGTTGCAATCCAATTTTGGCTCCAACATGGCTCTAATAACATTAATCTTAGTTATATTTAGATTTAAAAACAAATGAACATTTCATTGCATGCAGCTCCTCCTCTACCCCCACTCCCCATTTTTGTTTCTTCTCTGAATTATTTTCTATGTCCAAAGAACGAGATTCCACAGGTGCTTCACTCACTGGTCTTGTGTGGGGAACAACCTTAAAAGAATCCTAGTGGGCTGAAATTGGGAGAAAAAAAATGTATATATCCTTCCAAAGTACAAAGTTGTCATTAAAAGTGGCTGCCCTGGAAAGGAAGAACTGGCATTCATGTGTGGCCCATGTAATCAGTCCTCACCAGAGACTGAACTGATGTGTAACACAGCCAAGTCAAGGGCCTTAGAAAAGAGGACTTCTGTCTTTTTCTTACTAAAACCCATTGGTTTAAAACTGTGTTAAACTACTAGATTTCCAGGGATTGTTATGTGAGTAATATAAATGATATAAAGGATACTGATGGATGTTAGAAAAGAAAAAAATACATATACCATGCAAGTAAATCAGAGACCAAGCGAGCATACAGGTAAAGATAATAAAACAAACAGAACACAACAACTTTCTAGTGCCCTTCTTTTGCTCTTGCTTTACCATGGAATCAGGTTTGCAAGGGTTATCTCTACTTTCTTTACTCACAGCATTAAATAATCTCCCTGTGCTGCTTTACTATTCCTAAATCTTCTAAACTTTATTCTTCATATGGAAAAAAACCATAATTTTAATAGGTTGTGCCTTCTCCCTCTCACATACAATCAAACACATATACACTGTACAACCCACACCATACACGCATGTGCTCAAAAATAATTTGCTTACCAAGACATGTTTTAATTCTACACATAATTCAATTTTGACTTGAAGAGCCATCTTAAGTTCTTTACAGAAATGTGTGCCATTTTCTCCCTTTTAAATTTGCTTATCATAATTTAACAATGCTTCATTTCTGATAATAGTGATAGTTAATTGCTTAGGATGTTCAAAAATTTTTAAAAATTAAATTTTAATTATATATTTAGCTGTGTTTAGGAATCTTGGTATTTATATTAAAAAACTTATACTTTCAAAATATATATTAAATAAGTCAATGTTTGTATTATTTGTATAGTTACAGCAAAAACTGCATTGAAATACAGACACATAGAAATGAACTCTGCCTAACATTTTCTTACCCAGTGAAGACTTGTTATATAATAAAAAAATATGTCCAAGTTTTTAAATGAATTGATAAAGATAGTATATTTATGATATTCTTCTTTTTTTTTTTTTTGTACTGGGGATTGAACTCAGGTCCTTGCACTTGCAAGGCAGGACACCG